TTTGTTTTATAGTTAGTTTTCACATTCACTGTCATCATGGGAATCTCTATCACTGTCACCAACATCAACAATTAGTTCTTCTGTTTGTCTGTCTATTACTTGCTCACTGATCCCTATTTTTAAATATTTAATCTACGCCCCTGATAGGAATACTGAAGAATGAGGGCTGCAATATTTATACCTAAAACTGCCTACTTTTGCCACCGCGCATCCACGCCATTTTAAAACTTCCGCCAGCTTCCAGCGTCAGGCCTGTACCGTGTAGATGAATTTGAGAATTCACAAAGCATTGTGGGCATTTTTTATTCGTCGTAGTTAAGGTGGTAACTTTTATTAACTAATCTTTTAAACAAATAAGAACATAAATGAATTTACCTCATAAAATCACAATTATTATATTATATAATTATAAAAGTGAGGTAGCGGCAAAGTAAAAAGTGCTATTTTTAGCGTAATTTTCATGAACCAAACAGTAAATCCTTCATAGGAATGCATATAGGAGTTTTCGTATGTTTTTACTTGTTTTGACTAAAAATTGTTTAAAAATAAATTTGGCGGTTTTGTAGGGAAACAATTAAAACAGATATTCCAAATGAAACCGTTTTCAGATTAACTTTTTAAAATTATCGTTAATTTATCTATTACTTACTTCTGTAATTTCGGCAGTTTCCCATGCTCGTGATGTGAAATCTTCAGGGACGAAGTGAGTTATCACGTCCTCGACTGTTGCATGCTTGCATTCAATCATTTTCATGAACGCCTTAAATCCTACAGTAGAGGCTAACTTGTCTTCATCAACGGTCGTTTCTTCACTCAAAACTTCCGAAACCAGCGCACTGTAGCCTTTACGTTCTAAAACGTTTACTAACGCAGACTGTGACTGTGGTGTTTTCAAAGTAGGGAATTTATCTTCATTGTAAAGTACGGTTATTTCTGTTACGGTAACGCCATTACGAACCAGATACCCAATTTCCGCTAGTTCTTTTAATGGTTGTTCACCTGGTCCAAATTCTTTTGTTCTGGTAAAATCTAATGTTTCCGTAATTTCTTTGGCCATCTTTATTTCTTCACTGACAATAATTTTCTCTACACGCTCAATTATTTGTTCGAGAGTTACTTCAGTTATGTGAGCTTCTTCTAGAACAGCGGGTTTGAGTTCTGGTGTGATTTCCGTTGGTCTTTCGATCTTCAGATCAGTTACTTCTTCTTCCGGCTGAATATGGGTAACTGACATTGATTCTAAACTACTGTCGATTATTTTCTGTGGTTTTATTTCTTCTTTCTCTAAAATCTCTTCCTTGTCAATTTTCCTGCACGAAGCCGTTGCTTCTGTTATTAGAGGTTCTTGGGGTGATAGGAGTGGTTTGGCGTAAGCCTTTTCGTCGAGGGTTTCTTCAATTTTCTCAACGCCTTCCAACGGTAAAACATCTTGTTGTTGCAGAGGTTTAAGTTCCTCTATTTCCAATTGCAGTTTCACTCGTTTGTCTTGTCGTTTCTTCTCAATTGTAACCCGTTCTTTTTTAACTTTCTCCTTCTTTTCGATGGCTTTCTTTAATTTAATTTCTTTCTTTTTGTCGGCGGGTATTTCTTGTACATACAGTTTCGCCTTTGTTATCGCAGTGCCCATGTCACTGACTGCTTTGCACACGTACGTGCCAACGTTTTCCACACTGACATCTTGTATAGTGCAAGTTGTTTTATTGTCCTCAATCCTGACTTTTATTTTATCGGTATTTCGCAAAATTTTGTCGTTGTAATACCAGACAACGTCTGAAAATAAATTAGGAACGTTACTTAAATGACTAGATTTTTGCCAGATTGTTTATGATAAATTATAAATAAATTAGCGAAATGCGAATGTTTCTAGTCCTATTTTATTACCTGGTGTTGGTGTTCCTGAAAATACGCATTCGAAAACAACAGTTTCTTCTTCCGTTGTACGAACGTCTTTAATTTCTTGTACAAAAGTGGGAACACTCTTTGCAGCTAGAAAGAGACATAATTTATTATTGAGATGCAGATATTTATTAATCCCGGAATGTACTACATCACAGCAAACTAACCTTTACCTAATTCTCTTGAACGTGATCGGTTTATATAAGGTTTTATGAAACACTAGGCAGATATTAGATGAAACGCAAACAAAAAAAAAACTATTAGATCTTCATACGTTACCTTAATTGGTTAGTGTTGTTTGTTGTTTTCTTCCGAACTTGACGTGGATTCCTTATCAGATAGCGAAAAAGCAGCAGCTAAACCTTTACATTTTGAACCGCTCATGCATTGACTTTCGAGAAGCAAAAATTCTTGGAGTTCTTCTTGACTGTCGGCAGTGTGCAATTGGAAAAAGGCTGAGGGGTCAATTTCTCTAGGTTCCAAAGGATTTATTACGTTATCGCTATCTTGAGAGGAACATTGTTTTGTTCTCGGGTATGTTTGATACTTTTGGGCAATGGGTAAGGAATCTAAGGGAATAGTGGGGAAAACATCGTACGAAGCAGACATGCTGGGATATAAGTAATTCCCTTCGACGATAGTGCAACTGTCTGACGAAGGTTCAGTTGTTTCTTCTATTGGCGAAAGGACATGATAACTTTGACATTTTTCTGCTAAGGTGGAAGAAACGTCTTCATTTGAAAATGTATTAGTTGGAAAAGAAGGAGAATCGAGGAATTCCATAATGGAACTTATGGAATGCCTCCGAGAATAAAGGTAATCTAATAATTTTTGCGACGAAGTGGTCTGATTTTTTTGTTCGTCATGTCCAGTTAAGTACGATGGTTCACTTACATGACCCCTTGTAAGGGAAGAAGCCACATTAACGTTGGAAACATCGAATACTTGCCTATCTTTTTCAGCGGCAATCGGTACATTGCTGGCGTTCAAGCAAGAAATCGGTTTAAGAAAATTTTGCGTCGGATTGCAGTTGTCACACGAAAGCGTCATGCAGTTATTGCTTTTACAACTTTTACCTTTTAATGCCTCCTGCAATTCTTCCATGTGCGTAACCCACTCTGGTTTTCGGTATTCTTTTGTTCCAACAATACCTAGAAACGCCGAGAAAACATTGTTACCTTGAGAAAATTAAACCTCTACACTTGAGAGATATTTGATTTAAAAATATCGAAAGACAGATTATAAACATTGAGTATACAGAAAATAGAAATCTGTCTGCCGTTAGTTCTAAATCAGAAATATTATTTGGAAATACATATCGTATATAATTTGTAGTTTCAATGTAAATTATGCGATGTATATATTGAAATGATTGTTTAATAATGTGTTTGTGATAAATTGTAATAAATCCAACGAAGGAAGCTGAAAAATATTAATAGCTGCAAATTAATCGTAAATATTAATCATGGCAGATGATTAAGTTAAACTTAAATTCAGTCGTACCTTCAACTCCTTCCAGTGTAAGTGTTGTAGCCGTAACAGCAACCCCAAAGGGGTTGATGGCTTCATATGTAATGTCGCCAATGTCATCAGGGAATACTTCTGCTATCGTTAAAACGGAAGTACCGTCTTCGAAGTTTTCAATTGCGAATTCCTTCGATGGCACTATTTCTTCTCCTTCTTTGAGCCATTTGCCTTCAGGCTTGGGTTTACCCGTGGCTTTTACTTCCAATCTTTAAAAAACAAAGTGGAGTAAGGTTTTTTAAATTAATTCCATTCCATTACACTTAGAAAAGGAAATGCTTTTAAATGTTTTAAAGTTTTAATGAATTGATTTCTACAAAAGTTTATGGTGGTTAACTCTTTTTTTCCTTTTGGTGTATGTTCAAAATGCTTCATAGTTTTATTACTGAAGAAACTAGATTTCCGGATTTTAACGGTCTCTTATTGATGAGCGTTCAGACCTTGCATTGACAATGACAATCAATAAAACACGGTTAGAATCCGGAAATTCAGTGTCTTCAGACGACAGCCGTGAAAGCGCAAATCGACAACTAATCAAATTGTTTGTAGGAGATTGCTTAATGAAAATTCTAAATACTTTAGGTGAAAATTTACGAATTTCCTACCTTGTTACATCCCCTGTTTTGGTAGTTACCACTTCTGGTAACTTCTTGACTATCTTCGGTGGAATTTCTTCGAAGTCGCTATCGTAAGGAATGTCACTGAGAGTCTAAAAATAAATTATGTGTAATAATAACGCAAAAAGCGAACATAGGGGATGAAAAATTAGAAGAAGTGACTGATTTTTAGTATCTAGGAAGTCAGATAACTCAGGGTGGGAGGAGCAGTAGATATATAAAACGAAGGGTAGCGCAGGGTTGAGCCGCCATTAATAAAAAGAAGTCACTTCACGAATGGTTAATTGAGTAATTCAAAAAATATTGTTAAAGTTGTACGTCTGGAACGGGGCGTTGTACAGGTGCGAAATATTGACGGTGGGCGCGGCGGAAAAGAAAAGGTTAGAAACGTTCGAAATGTGCTGTTACAGGCGACTGATGAGGATAACGTGGATAGAGAAGGTTAGAAGAGGTATTAGAAAGAATAGGAGAACAAAGGACTCTGTGGAAGTCAATAAGGATACCTTCCCGAGATAAAAATGTTCAGTCTCTCAGAGCCTCTGAAAGCGAGACTCGAGTCTCCGTTTCTCATCGAGTCTCTCTGGTGTCGCTGAGAGAGACTGTAAAAAAAACTGTTTAGCCTCTCTGAACGATAGACTCGAATCTCTGAACGAGAGACTCGAATCTCTGAATTAACAATTTTATCGTTCGAATCTCTCATACAGAGACTGTGAGAGATCCATAAAAACACCTAGGCAATAACTGAGAGACTGTGAAAGACTGTGAGAGACGCTGAAAGGCTCTAAAAGACTCTGAGAGACTGAAAATTTTTGTCTAGGGTTTTCAGGTGTGAACGACTGGTCAGACACATATTAGAAGCAGAAATAGGAGTTAAGAGGAGAATTTGTTTACAAATACGAAGATTAGCTCAGGATAAGAAAGATTGCAGATGCGTGTCCAACCAGTCATAGAACTGACGAAATTCCCTATTGTTGCTATTACCTTATCTGCTAAGAGATCTTCTTCAGAGCCACTTGGTGCAGTCATTTGAGCTAATTCTGAATCTGGCATGTATTCGTATGCTTCGACAACCAGTGACGTTTTACATACAGTTTCGCCGGCTTCGTTATTAGCGAAACAAGTATACACTCCTTCATTTTCGGGAAATACTTCGCAAATGGTCAACGAACACACACCTTCGGGACTTTGTGTTATGATGACGTCTTTCGCTTCATCTATGGGCTGTCCGTTATGAAGCCAGGTTACCTTAGGAATAGGTTTACCTGTAACTTTGCACGTTAACGTTGCTCTTTCACCATCCATTACTCTAATGGGTGTCAATTTCTCTACGAATCGTGGATATTCAACTTCGGTGGTTCCTTCCCAGACTGTTTCTTCGATCTTACTTATACTTGCTGTGCTCATGACTGATCCCACGACATTTTCAGCTCGGCAGGTAACAGTCTCGCAGAGTTCTGGTGTAATTGAATGAATCATGAGGGTTGATGTGTTTCCTTGGGTTGTGATTCTTATTTCTGGCGATGATAGAACTGGAGTCGGTCCGATGTACCATTGGAATGAAGCTATCGGTTCTGATTCAACTACAGCTTCTATGACTACTGCCTCACCTAATGTTACTATTTGAGGCTCTATTGGCTTTATAAACCTCGGAGCTTTAGCAGCTAGAGCTTGTTCGTCCTTAGAGATTGTTACTGTTCCTAAAGTGCGAGCTTCGCCTTTAGGATTTTTGGCCCTTACTTCATATTTACCATCTTTTATTTTGGAATCTTTTGATATTATTAGAGTTGTTACATTTTCTGTTGTTTCTATATCCCAGTTCTTGTTCGGTTTTATTTCTTTACTGTTTCTATACCATGATATTTCTGGTATCGGCTGGCCTTCGAACTCTGCCGTTAATATAATGTCTTCCTTAGCCGTGGATACAATTGCTTGAATTGGTTTAGTAATTTTAGGTGCGATCATTACCGGTACTTCGGTACCTGTAACAATCTCTGAAGGCACAAGTTTGGTGGTTGTTTTAGCTGTTCCGAATTTATTTACAGCTGTAACTTCATACGGTACTTCTTCAGTTAATGGTTTCAATACGTCTAATATTGCTTTTCCAGTTTCTGGTGTGTACGAAACCTTGTGTCTTCTGTCTGGTTTTACTTCTTTCTTGTCTTCGTACCATTTGATTTCGGGAGTGGGCTTTCCGGTGATGGTACACTCTAAATGAACTTTTTCTTCTGTTACTTGTGCTTTTAAAGGTTGTACGATATGTGGGGCGATACCGGATTCTTCTTTCTCTAAAAACGTAAAGAGAATTAATAATAGCAAGTGACTTCAGTGTTAGAATACCAAAAAGTACATAAGCAGCAATAATTTGTTAGCATTTTCTTTTGCTTAAAAAAAACAACGAAAGCTGTAATTATATAGGTAGGTAACGGATAACGTTTCCTAAATATTGCAGCGAAAGTAAAATATTTGGCAAAAATCCACACTAAAACCTCTAAAACGGAGATACCTAATATGATGAGATTCGCAGTTGTTGTTGCTACACCGGCTGGATTGACAGCTTTACATGTGTACACTGCAACATCTTGTGGGGTGATTGAAGCAATTTCAAGAACAGCCGTATTTTCGACAACAGTCATTTGAACTCTTTCTGAGGGCTTAATAATTTCTTCGTTTTTATACCATGTTATTTCAGGGAAGGGTGTACCTTCAACTTTACAAGTAAACACAGCTTTGCTCTCTTCTGTAACTGTAATTGGCTCGACCTTCTCAGTAAACCTAGGAGCTTTAATCTTTTTGGTGGTCTTAACTTTAGTAGTTTTAATTTTCATTGTTGCTTCTTCCGTTTCAATCTCTTCTGGTTTAATTTTCTCTCTCTTTTGAGTTACTATTTCAAGTTCTGGCAACGGTTGATCTCCTTCGTCGTAGAATTTTACTTCGCGTTCACGTTTAATTTTCTTCTTCGAAATGACATCGACTTTGAGTTCTTGAGTAATTTGATCTTCTAATTGTTTAGTTTCCTCTGTGATTTCTTCTGTTATTTCTTCTTCTGTTTGAGGTTTTGATATTTCTTTTAATTCTATTTTAGTTTCGGTAACTTGAGTTTCGGGATATTCGTCAGTTTGTGATGGTAATTTGGCAAGTTCCACTTTTGGCTTCTTTGGTTTTCTAATCTTTCTCCATGGAAGAGTAGTTTCCTCAGGTTGTTGTTCTGGCGAAACTTCTTGAGGTTTCTTGGGGGTTATTTCAAGTTGCGTGTCTTCTTGTATTTCTTTAGGTTTAGTTGGTTGTGGAATAGGTTTGAGTGGGATTTCTTCCTCCTTTTCTTCTGGCTTGGTTCGTTTAGGAATAGGTTTTAAGTGGACTTCTTCTTTAAATTCTTCTTCTTTTGGTAATTTACCCTTGCCTATACGCAATTTTGTTTCTTCTTTTTTATCTTCTTCAGGCATTTGCTTCACGTCCTGTCTCCAAGGAACTGGAGCAGGTGTAGGTTGTTCTTCTTGAGGCTGTGTTTCTTCGTCTTTGGGCGATATTGTCTCTTTTTCTGGTTTTTTGCCTTTCCTCCATGGTAATGGCTTGTGTTTCATGTCGATATCCTCTTGTTCTTCTGGTTTTTCTGGAAGAATTTCTTTTTCTTTTGCAACTGGTTTGAGTTTAATATCTTCTTTGGACTCATCAGGTTTTTTCGGTTTTGGTATCGGTTTGAGATGTACCTCCTCTTTTTCTTCTTTTTCTGCAGGTATAACTCCTTTGCCAATTTTTAATTTCGATTTTTCTTCTTCAACATCTTCGACAGTCGGTTTAGTTGGTTTTCTCCAAGGTACCGATTTGTCTTCTTTTTCTTTAGTAGGCTTTTCTACTTTTTCGGACAAAGTAGATTCAAATTCTTCTTTCTGTGGTTTTTCAGTTTCTTCAGAAATATCTGCAACTAACGGACTAACCTTGGTAGTTTCTACTTTCTGTTTTGGTATTGATTTAGTTTCTTCTTTTGTTTTATGTTTAAGTGGACTAAGCTCAACAGTTTCCAAAGGTGCTTCAGGTAATGGCTGTTTCGCTGGTTTAGCTTTTTTCAGAACCACTTTTTCTTCTGTCCAGGGTTTCATTTCTTCTATTTTCTTAACAGGTTTTGGTCTTGTAGCTTTTTCTTCATCACGTATTTCAGAAACTTCATCACCAACTGGAATTGTTTCCTGTGTTAATTCCGTTACTTCCTCTTGTTGGACTAATTGATCATCTTGAACTTGTTTACGCTGCTTACGTACTTTTTTCTTTTTGACTATTTCTTCAACCAATATATCTTCTTCTTCCGGTTTAATGTATTCCAATTCCGGTTTTCCTTCAATTGCTTTTGGCGCTCCTTCCACTACTGATGATGCTTTGGCTTCCTCTTTTTCTAGAGGTTTCAGAGGTTTCAATTTTTCTTCAACTTGCCCTGGTGCTTCTGAGGGTAACTGTTCCTCCTCAGTTTTGATAATCTTTTCTTCATGTTCTTCACCGACCTTTTTGCGCCAGCGTTTAGTTTTAGGCTTTTCCTCAATAATTTTCTCCTCCGAAATTATACCTGTTGGTTTAATTTCTTCTTCAGTTATTATAGCTTGAGTTTCTTCCTTCTGTACCGGTTTTAAAGGTTTCAGCTTATCTTCGGCTGCTTCAGGTACTTCGACCTTCTTTGGTTTTTTAAGTGTTATTTTTTCTTCAGTCCACGGTTTAACCTCTTCAGGTTGTTTAGGAGCTACTTCTTTCGGTTTAACTTCTTCTGGGATTTCTGTAGGGAGCTCTTCCTCCTTTTTGGTCACTACTTCTTCATCGGCCTTTACCTCTTTCCTAAGCCAATGCTTTACTTTCGTAGGTGACTCTTCAACAAACTTTTCTTCGACTTGCTCTGGAGTTTCTAAAGGTAACTGTTCCTCTTCAGTTTTGATAACCTTTTCTTCATGTTCTTCATCTATCTTTTTACGCCAGCGTTTAGTTTTAGGTTTTTCCTCAATAATTTTCTCCTCAGAAATTGTACCTGTTGGTTTAGTTTCTTCTTCAGTTATTATAGCTTGAGTTTCTTCCTTCTGTACCGGTTTTAAAGGCTTTAGCTTTTCTTCGGCTGTTTCAGGTACTTCGACCTTCTTTGGTTTTTTAAGTGTTATTTTTTCTTCAGTCCATGGTTTGACCTCTTCAGGTTGTTTAGGAGAGATTTCTTTAGGTTTAACTTTTTCTGGAATTTCTGTAGGGAGCTCTTCTTCCTTTCTGGTCACCACTTCTTCATCGGCCTTCACTTCTTTCCTGCGCCAATGTTTTACTTTCGTAGGTTTTTCTTCTACTTGCTCCGGAGTTTCCGAAGGTAATTGTTCCTCTTCTGTTTTGATAACCTCTACTTCATGTTCTTCACCGACCTTTTTACGCCAGCGTTTAGTTTTAGGTTTTTCCTCAATAATTTTCTCCTCCGAAATTGTACCTGTTGGTTTAGTTTCTTCTTCAGTTAATACAGCGTGAGTTTCTTCCTTCTGTACCGGTTTTAAAGGCTTTAGCTTTTCTTCGTCTGTTTCNTAAAAAAAACTGTTTAGCCTCTCTGAACGATAGACTCGAATCTCTGAACGAGAGACTCGAATCTCTGAATTAACAATTTTATCGTTCGAATCTCTCATACAGAGACTGTGAGAGATCCATAAAAACACCTAGGCAATAACTGAGAGACTGTGAAAGACTGTGAGAGACGCTGAAAGGCTCTAAAAGACTCTGAGAGACTGAAAATTTTTGTCTAGGGTTTTCAGGTGTGAACGACTGGTCAGACACATATTAGAAGCAGAAATAGGAGTTAAGAGGAGAATTTGTTTACAAATACGAAGATTAGCTCAGGATAAGAAAGATTGCAGATGCGTGTCCAACCAGTCATAGAACTGACGAAATTCCCTATTGTTGCTATTACCTTATCTGCTAAGAGATCTTCTTCAGAGCCACTTGGTGCAGTCATTTGAGCTAATTCTGAATCTGGCATGTATTCGTATGCTTCGACAACCAGTGACGTTTTACATACAGTTTCGCCGGCTTCGTTATTAGCGAAACAAGTATACACTCCTTCATTTTCGGGAAATACTTCGCAAATGGTCAACGAACACACACCTTCGGGACTTTGTGTTATGATGACGTCTTTCGCTTCATCTATGGGCTGTCCGTTATGAAGCCAGGTTACCTTAGGAATAGGTTTACCTGTAACTTTGCACGTTAACGTTGCTCTTTCACCATCCATTACTCTAATGGGTGTCAATTTCTCTACGAATCGTGGATATTCAACTTCGGTGGTTCCTTCCCAGACTGTTTCTTCGATCTTACTTATACTTGCTGTGCTCATGACTGATCCCACGACATTTTCAGCTCGGCAGGTAACAGTCTCGCAGAGTTCTGGTGTAATTGAATGAATCATGAGGGTTGATGTGTTTCCTTGGGTTGTGATTCTTATTTCTGGCGATGATAGAACTGGAGTCGGTCCGATGTACCATTGGAATGAAGCTATCGGTTCTGATTCAACTACAGCTTCTATGACTACTGCCTCACCTAATGTTACTATTTGAGGCTCTATTGGCTTTATAAACCTCGGAGCTTTAGCAGCTAGAGCTTGTTCGTCCTTAGAGATTGTTACTGTTCCTAAAGTGCGAGCTTCGCCTTTAGGATTTTTGGCCCTTACTTCATATTTACCATCTTTTATTTTGGAATCTTTTGATATTATTAGAGTTGTTACATTTTCTGTTGTTTCTATATCCCAGTTCTTGTTCGGTTTTATTTCTTTACTGTTTCTATACCATGATATTTCTGGTATCGGCTGGCCTTCGAACTCTGCCGTTAATATAATGTCTTCCTTAGCCGTGGATACAATTGCTTGAATTGGTTTAGTAATTTTAGGTGCGATCATTACCGGTACTTCGGTACCTGTAACAATCTCTGAAGGCACAAGTTTGGTGGTTGTTTTAGCTGTTCCGAATTTATTTACAGCTGTAACTTCATACGGTACTTCTTCAGTTAATGGTTTCAATACGTCTAATATTGCTTTTCCAGTTTCTGGTGTGTACGAAACCTTGTGTCTTCTGTCTGGTTTTACTTCTTTCTTGTCTTCGTACCATTTGATTTCGGGAGTGGGCTTTCCGGTGATGGTACACTCTAAATGAACTTTTTCTTCTGTTACTTGTGCTTTTAAAGGTTGTACGATATGTGGGGCGATACCGGATTCTTCTTTCTCTAAAAACGTAAAGAGAATTAATAATAGCAAGTGACTTCAGTGTTAGAATACCAAAAAGTACATAAGCAGCAATAATTTGTTAGCATTTTCTTTTGCTTAAAAAAAACAACGAAAGCTGTAATTATATAGGTAGGTAACGGATAACGTTTCCTAAATATTGCAGCGAAAGTAAAATATTTGGCAAAAATCCACACTAAAACCTCTAAAACGGAGATACCTAATATGATGAGATTCGCAGTTGTTGTTGCTACACCGGCTGGATTGACAGCTTTACATGTGTACACTGCAACATCTTGTGGGGTGATTGAAGCAATTTCAAGAACAGCCGTATTTTCGACAACAGTCATTTGAACTCTTTCTGAGGGCTTAATAATTTCTTCGTTTTTATACCATGTTATTTCAGGGAAGGGTGTACCTTCAACTTTACAAGTAAACACAGCTTTGCTCTCTTCTGTAACTGTAATTGGCTCGACCTTCTCAGTAAACCTAGGAGCTTTAATCTTTTTGGTGGTCTTAACTTTAGTAGTTTTAATTTTCATTGTTGCTTCTTCCGTTTCAATCTCTTCTGGTTTAATTTTCTCTCTCTTTTGAGTTACTATTTCAAGTTCTGGCAACGGTTGATCTCCTTCGTCGTAGAATTTTACTTCGCGTTCACGTTTAATTTTCTTCTTCGAAATGACATCGACTTTGAGTTCTTGAGTAATTTGATCTTCTAATTGTTTAGTTTCCTCTGTGATTTCTTCTGTTATTTCTTCTTCTGTTTGAGGTTTTGATATTTCTTTTAATTCTATTTTAGTTTCGGTAACTTGAGTTTCGGGATATTCGTCAGTTTGTGATGGTAATTTGGCAAGTTCCACTTTTGGCTTCTTTGGTTTTCTAATCTTTCTCCATGGAAGAGTAGTTTCCTCAGGTTGTTGTTCTGGCGAAACTTCTTGAGGTTTCTTGGGGGTTATTTCAAGTTGCGTGTCTTCTTGTATTTCTTTAGGTTTAGTTGGTTGTGGAATAGGTTTGAGTGGGATTTCTTCCTCCTTTTCTTCTGGCTTGGTTCGTTTAGGAATAGGTTTTAAGTGGACTTCTTCTTTAAATTCTTCTTCTTTTGGTAATTTACCCTTGCCTATACGCAATTTTGTTTCTTCTTTTTTATCTTCTTCAGGCATTTGCTTCACGTCCTGTCTCCAAGGAACTGGAGCAGGTGTAGGTTGTTCTTCTTGAGGCTGTGTTTCTTCGTCTTTGGGCGATATTGTCTCTTTTTCTGGTTTTTTGCCTTTCCTCCATGGTAATGGCTTGTGTTTCATGTCGATATCCTCTTGTTCTTCTGGTTTTTCTGGAAGAATTTCTTTTTCTTTTGCAACTGGTTTGAGTTTAATATCTTCTTTGGACTCATCAGGTTTTTTCGGTTTTGGTATCGGTTTGAGATGTACCTCCTCTTTTTCTTCTTTTTCTGCAGGTATAACTCCNTCTTCTGTTATTTCTTCTTCTGTTTGAGGTTTTGATATTTCTTTTAATTCTATTTTAGTTTCGGTAACTTGAGTTTCGGGATATTCGTCAGTTTGTGATGGTAATTTGGCAAGTTCCACTTTTGGCTTCTTTGGTTTTCTAATCTTTCTCCATGGAAGAGTAGTTTCCTCAGGTTGTTGTTCTGGCGAAACTTCTTGAGGTTTCTTGGGGGTTATTTCAAGTTGCGTGTCTTCTTGTATTTCTTTAGGTTTAGTTGGTTGTGGAATAGGTTTGAGTGGGATTTCTTCCTCCTTTTCTTCTGGCTTGGTTCGTTTAGGAATAGGTTTTAAGTGGACTTCTTCTTTAAATTCTTCTTCTTTTGGTAATTTACCCTTGCCTATACGCAATTTTGTTTCTTCTTTTTTATCTTCTTCAGGCATTTGCTTCACGTCCTGTCTCCAAGGAACTGGAGCAGGTGTAGGTTGTTCTTCTTGAGGCTGTGTTTCTTCGTCTTTGGGCGATATTGTCTCTTTTTCTGGTTTTTTGCCTTTCCTCCATGGTAATGGCTTGTGTTTCATGTCGATATCCTCTTGTTCTTCTGGTTTTTCTGGAAGAATTTCTTTTTCTTTTGCAACTGGTTTGAGTTTAATATCTTCTTTGGACTCATCAGGTTTTTTCGGTTTTGGTATCGGTTTGAGATGTACCTCCTCTTTTTCTTCTTTTTCTGCAGGTATAACTCCTTTGCCAATTTTTAATTTCGATTTTTCTTCTTCAACATCTTCGACAGTCGGTTTAGTTGGTTTTCTCCAAGGTACCGATTTGTCTTCTTTTTCTTTAGTAGGCTTTTCTACTTTTTCGGACAAAGTAGATTCAAATTCTTCTTTCTGTGGTTTTTCAGTTTCTTCAGAAATATCTGCAACTAACGGACTAACCTTGGTAGTTTCTACTTTCTGTTTTGGTATTGATTTAGTTTCTTCTTTTGTTTTATGTTTAAGTGGACTAAGCTCAACAGTTTCCAAAGGTGCTTCAGGTAATGGCTGTTTCGCTGGTTTAGCTTTTTTCAGAACCACTTTTTCTTCTGTCCAGGGTTTCATTTCTTCTATTTTCTTAACAGGTTTTGGTCTTGTAGCTTTTTCTTCATCACGTATTTCAGAAACTTCATCACCAACTGGAATTGTTTCCTGTGTTAATTCCGTTACTTCCTCTTGTTGGACTAATTGATCATCTTGAACTTGTTTACGCTGCTTACGTACTTTTTTCTTTTTGACTATTTCTTCAACCAATATATCTTCTTCTTCCGGTTTAATGTATTCCAATTCCGGTTTTCCTTCAATTGCTTTTGGCGCTCCTTCCACTACTGATGATGCTTTGGCTTCCTCTTTTTCTAGAGGTTTCAGAGGTTTCAATTTTTCTTCAACTTGCCCTGGTGCTTCTGAGGGTAACTGTTCCTCCTCAGTTTTGATAATCTTTTCTTCATGTTCTTCACCGACCTTTTTGCGCCAGCGTTTAGTTTTAGGCTTTTCCTCAATAATTTTCTCCTCCGAAATTATACCTGTTGGTTTAATTTCTTCTTCAGTTATTATAGCTTGAGTTTCTTCCTTCTGTACCGGTTTTAAAGGTTTCAGCTTATCTTCGGCTGCTTCAGGTACTTCGACCTTCTTTGGTTTTTTAAGTGTTATTTTTTCTTCAGTCCACGGTTTAACCTCTTCAGGTTGTTTAGGAGCTACTTCTTTCGGTTTAACTTCTTCTGGGATTTCTGTAGGGAGCTCTTCCTCCTTTTTGGTCACTACTTCTTCATCGGCCTTTACCTCTTTCCTAAGCCAATGCTTTACTTTCGTAGGTGACTCTTCAACAAACTTTTCTTCGACTTGCTCTGGAGTTTCTAAAGGTAACTGTTCCTCTTCAGTTTTGATAACCTTTTCTTCATGTTCTTCATCTATCTTTTTACGCCAGCGTTTAGTTTTAGGTTTTTCCTCAATAATTTTCTCCTCAGAAATTGTACCTGTTGGTTTAGTTTCTTCTTCAGTTATTATAGCTTGAGTTTCTTCCTTCTGTACCGGTTTTAAAGGCGTCAGCTTTTCTTCGGCTGTTTCAGGTACTTCCACCTTCTGTGGTTTTTTAAATGTTATTTTTTCTTCAGTCCATGGTTTGACCTCTTCAGGTTGTTTAGGAGAGATTTCTTTAGGTTTAACTTTTTCTGGAATTTCTGTAGGGAGCTCTTCTTCTTTTCTGGTCACCACTTCTTCATCGGCCTTTACCTCTTTCCTACGCCAATGCTTTACTTTCTTAGGAGTCTCTTCAACAATCTTTTCTTCGACATGGTCTGGAGTTTCTGAAGGTAGCTGTTCCTCTTCAGTTTTGATAATCTTTTCTTCATGTTCTTCGCCTATCTTCTTACGCCAGCGTTTAGTTTTAGGTTTTTCCTCAATAATTTTCTCCTCCGAAATTGTACTTGTTGGTTTAGTTTCTTCTTCAGTTATTATAGCTTGAGTTTCTTCCTTCTGTACCGGTTTTAAAGGCTTTCAGCTTTTCTTCGGCTGTTTCAGGTACTTCGACCTTCTTTGGTTTTTTAAGTGTTATTTTTTCTTCAGTCCATGGTTTGACCTCTTCAGGTTGTTTAGGAGCTATTTCCTTCGGTTTAGATTCTTCTGGAATTTCTGTAGGAAGCTCTTCCTCCTTTTTGGTGGTCACTACTTCTTCATCGGCCTTTACCTCTTTCCTACGCCAATGCTTTACTTTCGTAGGTTTTTCTTCTACTTGCTCAGGAGTTTCCGAAGGTAGCTGTTCCTCTTCAGTTTTGATAACCTTTTCTTCATGTTCTTCACCGACCTTTTTACGCCAGCGTTTAGTTTTAGGTTTTTCCTCAATAATTTTCTCCTCAGAAATTGTACCTGTTGGTTTAGTTTCTTCTTCAGTTATTATAGCTTGAGTTTCTTCCTTCTGTACCGGTTTTAAAGGCTTTAGCTTTTCTTCGGCTGTTTCAGGTACTTCGACCTTCTTTGGTTTTTTAAGTGTTATTTTTTCTTCAGTCCATGGTTTGACCTCTTCAGGTTGTTTAGGAGAGATTTCTTTAGGTTTAACTTTTTCTGGAATTTCTGTAGGGAGCTCTTCTTCCTTTCTGGTCACCACTTCTTCATCGGCCTTCACTTCTTTCCTGCGCCAATGTTTTACTTTCGTAGGTTTTTCTTCTACTTGCTCCGGAGTTTCCGAAGGTAATTGTTCCTCTTCAGTTTTGATAACCTCTTTTTCATGTTCTTCACCGACCTTTTTACGCCAGTGTTTAGTTTTAGGCTTTTCCTCAATAATTTTCTCCTCCGAAATTGTACCTGTTGGTTTAGTTTCTTCTTCAGTTATTATAGCTTGAGTTTCTTCCTTCTGTACCGGTTTTAAAGGCGTCAGCTTTTCTTCGGCTGTTTCAGGTACTTCGATCTTCTTTGGTTTTTTAAGTGTTATCTTTTCTTCAGTCCATGGTGTGACCTCTTCAGGTTGTTTAGGAGAGATTTCTTTAGGTTTAACTTTTTCTGGAATTTCTGTAGGGAGCTCTTCTTCCTTTCTGGTCACCACTTCTTCATCGGCCTTCACTTCTTTTCTGCGCCAATGTTTTACTTTCGTAGGTTTTTCTTCTACTTGCTCCGGAGTTTCCGAAGGTAATTGTTCCTCTTCTGTTTTGATAACCTCTACTTCATGTTCTTCACCGACCTTTTTACGCCAGCGTTTAGTTTTAGGTTTTTCCTCAATAATTTTCTCCTCCGAAATTGTACCTGTTGGTTTAGTTTCTTCTTCAGTTAATACAGCGTGAGTTTCTTCCTTCTGTACCGGTTTTAAAGGCTTTAGCTTTTCTTCGTCTGTTTCAGGTACTTCGATCTTCTTTGGTTTTTTAAGTGTTATTTTTTCTTCAGTCCATGGTTTGACCTCTTCAGGTTGTTTAGGAGAGATTTCTTTAGGTTTAACTTTTTCTGGAATTTCTGTAGGGAGCTCTTCTTCCTTTCTGGTCACCACTTCTTCATCGGCCTTCACTTCTTTTCTGCGCCAATGTTTTACTTTCGTAGGTTTTTCTTCTACTTGCTCCGGAGTTTCCGAAGGTAATTGTTCCTCTTCAGTTTTGATAACCTCTTTTTCATGTTCTTCACCGACCTTTTTACGCCAGCGTTTGGTTTTAGGTTTTTCCTCAATAATTTTCTCCTCCGAAATTGTACTTGTTGGTTTAGTTTCTTCTTCAGTTAATACAACGTGAGTTTCTTCCTTCTGTACCGGTTTTAAAGGCTTCAGCTTTTCTTCGGCTGTTTCAGGTACTTCGACCTTCTTTGGTTTTTTAAGTGTTATTTTTTCTTCAGTCCATGGTTTGACCTCTTCAGGTTGTTTAGGAGAGATTTCTTTAGGTTTAACTTTTTCTGGAATTTCTGTAGGGAGCTCTTCTTCCTTTCTGGTCACCACTTCTTCATCGGCCTTCACTTCTTTCCTGCGCCAATGTTTTACTTTCGTAGGTTTTTCTTCTACTTGCTCCGGAGTTTCCGAAGGTAATTGTTCCTCTTCAGTTTTGATAACCTCTTTTTCATGTTCTTCACCGACCTTTTTACGCCAGCGTTTGGTTTTAGGTTTTTCCTCAATAATTTTCTCCTCCGAAATTGTACTTGTTGGTTTAGTTTCTTCTTCAGTTAATACAACGTGAGTTTCTTCCTTCTGTACCGGTTTTAAAGGCTTCAGCTTTTCTTCGGCTGTTTCAGGTACTTCGACCTTCTTTGGTTTTTTAAGTGTTATTTTTTCTTCAGTCCATGGTTTGACCCCTTCTGGTTGTTTAGGAGAGATTTCTTTAGGTTTAACTTTTTCTGGAATTTCTGTAGGGAGCTCTTCTTCCTTTCTGGTCACCACTTCTTCATCGGCCTTTACCTCTTTCCTACGCCAATGCTTTACTTTCTTAGGTGTCTCTTCAACAATCGTTTCTTCGACTTGCTCAGGAGTTTCCGAAGGTAGCTGTTCCTCTTCAGTTTTGATAACCTTTTCTTCATGCACTTCATCAACTTTCTTACGCCAGTGTTTAATTTTAGGTTTTTCTTCAATAATTTTCTCCTCCAAAATAGTACCTTTTGGCTTAGATTCTTCTTCCGTTAAAGGAGCGTGTGTTTCTTCTTTCTTTACCGGTTGCAGGGGTTTTAGTATTTCTTCAGCAGATTCTGGTACTTCAACCTTCTTTGGTTTCTTGAGTTGTATTTTTTCTTCTGTCCATGGTCTGACATCTTGTGGTCTTTTGGGTTGAGGATGCTCAAGATGTTGATCTGTTTCTTCAATCTCTAACTGCATTTCTGTTTTCTGTTTAGTATGCTTTTTATCTTTGATTGGTTGCTTCGTTTCCTCTTCAGTTTCTCTAATATCTAAAGTTATTGTATCTTCTACCCTTAATTTTAGTTGTTTGTCTGTTTCCTCAACTGTTTCAGGTTGCTTTGCAGTCTTTGTTTTCTTTAAATGTATTATTTCTTCAGTCCACGGTTTAGGTTTACCTTTTTCTTGTTCTGGCTGTTTCGGAAATTGTGATATTTCTTCAGGCATTTCTTCTATCTGAAGAACTGCTTCTGTTTTCTCAGTAACAGATTTTTTCCTTTGTTTTGTCTGTAGTGGTTTTAGTTGAATTTCTTCTAACGTTTCCTTTTGTTTTGAGGGTATTTGGGGCACAGCCTTTTTTAGCTCGATTTTTTCTTCTGTCCAAGGTTTAATTTGCGACTTTTCTAACGATGTGTCCCTCGATGGCCTTCTGGGAACTTCCTCGATGTCTTTCCGTGGTTTTCTCCAACCTCTTATTTCAGATTCTTGCGTAGTTGTTTCTTTTTCCATTTCGTGAATTTCCTTGTGAATAGCATCTTCTGTTTTGACGAAGGTTTCGGTTACTTGCTCGGGTTTAACATCTTTGGGTTTAGATTTCTTCAGTTCAATTTTTTCTTCAGTCCAAGGTTTAACTTTTAATTGTTCAGTAACGCTTTGTTGGGGTTGTTTTAAAGTGGATTCTTTTTGTTCTTCACTTTGGAGGTCGACGGTTTTCTCTGCCAAATGTTTAACTGGTTTGGGTCGACGCCAATCTTTCGTTTCCAAATCTTTTTGTACAGTTATTTCTTGTTCTTCCTGAACATCGAGTTGTAATGTTTGCTCTGTGTGATATAATTTTTCGTGTGGTTTTGGTTTGCGCCATGGTTTGCTTTCAATTTCCTTTGGTTTGGAAATGCTTTCTGCTTCCGTTACTTGCTGTCCATCAATATCTTCTTTTGTATCTTTTCTGGGTTTGCGCCACTGTTTCGTTTGGAGTTCTTTATCAGTGGTTTCTTTTTCTATTTCTTTAATTTGGAGTAGAGTTGCGTCTTCTGTGGTCACAATTTGTTGTTTTTGAAGTTCAGGTTTGGAATCCTTCCTAGGTTTACGCCACTGTTTTGCTTGAAGGTCTTGAGCCGTAGTTATGGCTTCTGTTTCTTTAATTTGAAGCGTCGTGGCATCTTCAGTTGTAACAAATCTTTCCTCGCTTGTCACGCTTTCCCTCCTATCTTTTACCAGGCTGCGTAAGCTCACTTTTTCTAATGTTTCCTTTGGAACCTCTTTCTTTGTTGGGATAGTTTTCTTCAACCTGACAGCTTCTTCAGTCCATGGTATAGGTTGTTGTTGTTGTATCGAACTCTTTCGCTCCACTATCATTTGCCCTTTTTGTAAAACTGTTCTTTGACTCTGTTTTCGCCACGGTAACGTTTCGTCTCCTTTAGGGAGAACTTCTTCGTCGGTTTGCTCATCACCCTGTTGCGTCGTTTCAATTATTAAAGACGTCGTCTCTTTCGTGCCTTTACTTAATCCTTGCTTTCCTTTGGATGTTGCTGTACCGCCACGTTTTTGATCGCTAACCGTTGTTCGAGAAAATTTTCCAATTCGTCCTGCGGGTTGTAACGTTTGTGTTATAACATCTGGCAGCTTTTAATATTTGTCTTCAATTAAAGCGCCATTTTTCAATTAAAAAACAAAGTATATATACATGCATACGATAAAACTGAATAAAATATGTTTATGTGAAATAGTAATTTAATTTTGTTTTGTAATATTACGCAAACGTTTGGCAATTGTCCATGAATGTATATGCATCATTTAATTCGATGCAGCGCCGACTTCCAAAATTATCAACGTTGATTTTGGCAGAACTTTATCAACATAGTGGCCGTGTTGATAAATGTACAAACGTACCTTATTTGTTTAAACACACTTTAAAAATAACTGCCTCTCTATAATAGGTACCTGATCATAAGTTCCACACTTTTTTTAGTAAAATGAAATCAACGCGTTGGTCTTTTCCGATTATGCGGTAACAGTTGGAACTTTCTGAATGTAATAATTGAAATAAAAGAGAACAATAACTTATAACTTACAGACTAATCAATAATATAAATTTTATTAATCTTCTGAAAATAAATATGCCTTAAACCTACAGCAGGTATTTGCCATTTTAATTACCTGAGAAATATTATTGGTTTAAATTCATTAATGTTTGAATTGATATGGAAATACATTTCCTTTGAACTTTTTGAAACGGAAGGGTACAGGTATTACCAATACTTTTACTATGCTCTCTCAGAAATATGTAACTGACTAGTAATGGATGCTATTATAAAACTGACAACAATATTAAATTATTAACAATGTGTTAAAGGTAGGTTGAATGATGGTACTAGTATGATTATTAATATAACTTAAATGTCCGATTTAGAATTTATTACTAATGATAAAATCTTTTGTTTCAGATTAGCCAAAATATCTATCTTGGAACAGTCTAATGAATTCAATTTTAACTGCCTTCACGACACGACACGAACAAGAAATTGTTAGGTATGTACATAGTTGTAACTGGATATTGATTAATTTTTATTTCAATACTTATAAAAATTCTTTTGAGTCTTTTTCCGCAGTTTTTTCGAAAATATCTACATTTCTTATCTACATTTTTCATTTAACTGATGTAATAGAGAAAATTATTAGAAGGTTAAATACGAACTATAAGATGTAAAAGAGACAAACAGTTGGGAAGAATAGTAATTACAATACCAATTTTCATTTTTTTAAATTTATTTTAGTCTCTATGTTTGCTACTATTGTAATAAAAATTTCTAGTATAGAAACGGTGAACATAGATGATATAAGAAACATGTTAGAACATCTGTCACTAGTAGGTATGAAACTGTAAATAATTCTGTGTAACTTCTTATGAATTTTATGTAATGAATCTAAGGGCCTAATTAATTAACCAAGGACCTGATTAATTAACTGTAGTTAGGATGCCAGACCATGATGGATATATCTACGCATAAATTATTTTTAATTAAGTGCTTAAATTAACAAAAACAATTTTTTATTATTTCTACAACTTTTCAGTACTTCACTAAACAATATTTATTGTTCCACTAGTTTCGTCTTTATTGAGACATTTTCAAGGATTCTTGAAAATATCCTAATAAAGAATTTGATTCTTGAAAATGTCCTAATAAAGACAAAACTAGTCGAACAATAAATAGCGTTTTATTTCAAACGTTAACGTGAAGTATTGAAAAGTTACAGAAATAATAAAAAATTAAGTTATGATGTAGCTTCACAAAATATCAAAGATGTCTATTGATTATATCAAAAACAATTTAAATATGATGGAACTTCACAAAATATTCAAGATCTCTATCAATTATATCAAAAACAATTTAAATATTTTTTGGGACTCAAGAGGTAAGATCAATACTGCTACCNGTTTTAGGCTTTTCCTCAATAATTTTCTCCTCCGAAATTATACCTGTTGGTTTAATTTCTTCTTCAGTTATTATAGCTTGAGTTTCTTCCTTCTGTACCGGTTTTAAAGGTTTCAGCTTATCTTCGGCTGCTTCAGGTACTTCGACCTTCTTTGGTTTTTTAAGTGTTATTTTTTCTTCAGTCCACGGTTTAACCTCTTCAGGTTGTTTAGGAGCTACTTCTTTCGGTTTAACTTCTTCTGGGATTTCTGTAGGGAGCTCTTCCTCCTTTTTGGTCACTACTTCTTCATCGGCCTTTACCTCTTTCCTAAGCCAATGCTTTACTTTCGTAGGTGACTCTTCAACAAACTTTTCTTCGACTTGCTCTGGAGTTTCTAAAGGTAACTGTTCCTCTTCAGTTTTGATAACCTTTTCTTCATGTTCTTCATCTATCTTTTTACGCCAGCGTTTAGTTTTAGGTTTTTCCTCAATAATTTTCTCCTCAGAAATTGTACCTGTTGGTTTAGTTTCTTCTTCAGTTATTATAGCTTGAGTTTCTTCCTTCTGTACCGGTTTTAAAGGCTTTAGCTTTTCTTCGGCTGTTTCAGGTACTTCGACCTTCTTTGGTTTTTTAAGTGTTATTTTTTCTTCAGTCCATGGTTTGACCTCTTCAGGTTGTTTAGGAGAGATTTCTTTAGGTTTAACTTTTTCTGGAATTTCTGTAGGGAGCTCTTCTTCCTTTCTGGTCACCACTTCTTCATCGGCCTTTACCTCTTTCCTACGCCAATGCTTTACTTTCTTAGGTGTCTCTTCAACAATCGTTTCTTCGACTTGCTCAGGAGTTTCCGAAGGTAGCTGTTCCTCTTCAGTTTTGATAACCTTTTCTTCATGCACTTCATCAACTTTCTTACGCCAGTGTTTAATTTTAGGTTTTTCTTCAATAATTTTCTCCTCCAAAATAGTACCTTTTGGCTTAGATTCTTCTTCCGTTAAAGGAGCGTGTGTTTCTTCTTTCTTTACCGGTTGCAGGGGTTTTAGTATTTCTTCAGCAGATTCTGGTACTTCAACCTTCTTTGGTTTCTTGAGTTGTATTTTTTCTTCTGTCCATGGTCTGACATCTTGTGGTCTTTTGGGTTGAGGATGCTCAAGATGTTGATCTGTTTCTTCAATCTCTAACTGCATTTCTGTTTTCTGTTTAGTATGCTTTTTATCTTTGATTGGTTGCTTCGTTTCCTCTTCAGTTTCTCTAATATCTAAAGTTATTGTATCTTCTACCCTTAATTTTAGTTGTTTGTCTGTTTCCTCAACTGTTTCAGGTTGCTTTGCAGTCTTTGTTTTCTTTAAATGTATTATTTCTTCAGTCCACGGTTTAGGTTTACCTTTTTCTTGTTCTGGCTGTTTCGGAAATTGTGATATTTCTTCAGGCATTTCTTCTATCTGAAGAACTGCTTCTGTTTTCTCAGTAACAGATTTTTTCCTTTGTTTTGTCTGTAGTGGTTTTAGTTGAATTTCTTCTAACGTTTCCTTTTGTTTTGAGGGTATTTGGGGCACAGCCTTTTTTAGCTCGATTTTTTCTTCTGTCCAAGGTTTAATTTGCGACTTTTCTAACGATGTGTCCCTCGATGGCCTTCTGGGAACTTCCTCGATGTCTTTCCGTGGTTTTCTCCAACCTCTTATTTCAGATTCTTGCGTAGTTGTTTCTTTTTCCATTTCGTGAATTTCCTTGTGAATAGCATCTTCTGTTTTGACGAAGGTTTCGGTTACTTGCTCGGGTTTAACATCTTTGGGTTTAGATTTCTTCAGTTCAATTTTTTCTTCAGTCCAAGGTTTAACTTTTAATTGTTCAGTAACGCTTTGTTGGGGTTGTTTTAAAGTGGATTCTTTTTGTTCTTCACTTTGGAGGTCGACGGTTTTCTCTGCCAAATGTTTAACTGGTTTGGGTCGACGCCAATCTTTCGTTTCCAAATCTTTTTGTACAGTTATTTCTTGTTCTTCCTGAACATCGAGTTGTAATGTTTGCTCTGTGTGATATAATTTTTCGTGTGGTTTTGGTTTGCGCCATGGTTTGCTTTCAATTTCCTTTGGTTTGGAAATGCTTTCTGCTTCCGTTACTTGCTGTCCATCAATATCTTCTTTTGTATCTTTTCTGGGTTTGCGCCACTGTTTCGTTTGGAGTTCTTTATCAGTGGTTTCTTTTTCTATTTCTTTAATTTGGAGTAGAGTTGCGTCTTCTGTGGTCACAATTTGTTGTTTTTGAAGTTCAGGTTTGGAATCCTTCCTAGGTTTACGCCACTGTTTTGCTTGAAGGTCTTGAGCCGTAGTTATGGCTTCTGTTTCTTTAATTTGAAGCGTCGTGGCATCTTCAGTTGTAACAAATCTTTCCTCGCTTGTCACGCTTTCCCTCCTATCTTTTACCAGGCTGCGTAAGCTCACTTTTTCTAATGTTTCCTTTGGAACCTCTTTCTTTGTTGGGATAGTTTTCTTCAACCTGACAGCTTCTTCAGTCCATGGTATAGGTTGTTGTTGTTGTATCGAACTCTTTCGCTCCACTATCATTTGCCCTTTTTGTAAAACTGTTCTTTGACTCTGTTTTCGCCACGGTAACGTTTCGTCTCCTTTAGGGAGAACTTCTTCGTCGGTTTGCTCATCACCCTGTTGCGTCGTTTCAATTATTAAAGACGTCGTCTCTTTCGTGCCTTTACTTAATCCTTGCTTTCCTTTGGATGTTGCTGTACCGCCACGTTTTTGATCGCTAACCGTTGTTCGAGAAAATTTTCCAATTCGTCCTGCGGGTTGTAACGTTTGTGTTATAACATCTGGCAGCTTTTAATATTTGTCTTCAATTAAAGCGCCATTTTTCAATTAAAAAACAAAGTATATATACATGCATACGATAAAACTGAATAAAATATGTTTATGTGAAATAGTAATTTAATTTTGTTTTGTAATATTACGCAAACGTTTGGCAATTGTCCATGAATGTATATGCATCATTTAATTCGATGCAGCGCCGACTTCCAAAATTATCAACGTTGATTTTGGCAGAACTTTATCAACATAGTGGCCGTGTTGATAAATGTACAAACGTACCTTATTTGTTTAAACACACTTTAAAAATAACTGCCTCTCTATAATAGGTACCTGATCATAAGTTCCACACTTTTTTTAGTAAAATGAAATCAACGCGTTGGTCTTTTCCGATTATGCGGTAACAGTTGGAACTTTCTGAATGTAATAATTGAAATAAAAGAGAACAATAACTTATAACTTACAGACTAATCAATAATATAAATTTTATTAATCTTCTGAAAATAAATATGCCTTAAACCTACAGCAGGTATTTGCCATTTTAATTACCTGAGAAATATTATTGGTTTAAATTCATTAATGTTTGAATTGATATGGAAATACATTTCCTTTGAACTTTTTGAAACGGAAGGGTACAGGTATTACCAATACTTTTACTATGCTCTCTCAGAAATATGTAACTGACTAGTAATGGATGCTATTATAAAACTGACAACAATATTAAATTATTAACAATGTGTTAAAGGTAGGTTGAATGATGGTACTAGTATGATTATTAATATAACTTAAATGTCCGATTTAGAATTTATTACTAATGATAAAATCTTTTGTTTCAGATTAGCCAAAATATCTATCTTGGAACAGTCTAATGAATTCAATTTTAACTGCCTTCACGACACGACACGAACAAGAAATTGTTAGGTATGTACATAGTTGTAACTGGATATTGATTAATTTTTATTTCAATACTTATAAAAATTCTTTTGAGTCTTTTTCCGCAGTTTTTTCGAAAATATCTACATTTCTTATCTACATTTTTCATTTAACTGATGTAATAGAGAAAATTATTAGAAGGTTAAATACGAACTATAAGATGTAAAAGAGACAAACAGTTGGGAAGAATAGTAATTACAATACCAATTTTCATTTTTTTAAATTTATTTTAGTCTCTATGTTTGCTACTATTGTAATAAAAATTTCTAGTATAGAAACGGTGAACATAGATGATATAAGAAACATGTTAGAACATCTGTCACTAGTAGGTATGAAACTGTAAATAATTCTGTGTAACTTCTTATGAATTTTATGTAATGAATCTAAGGGCCTAATTAATTAACCAAGGACCTGATTAATTAACTGTAGTTAGGATGCCAGACCATGATGGATATATCTACGCATAAATTATTTTTAATTAAGTGCTTAAATTAACAAAAACAATTTTTTATTATTTCTACAACTTTTCAGTACTTCACTAAACAATATTTATTGTTCCACTAGTTTCGTCTTTATTGAGACATTTTCAAGGATTCTTGAAAATATCCTAATAAAGAATTTGATTCTTGAAAATGTCCTAATAAAGACAAAACTAGTCGAACAATAAATAGCGTTTTATTTCAAACGTTAACGTGAAGTATTGAAAAGTTACAGAAATAATAAAAAATTAAGTTATGATGTAGCTTCACAAAATATCAAAGATGTCTATTGATTATATCAAAAACAATTTAAATATGATGTAGCTTCACAAAATATCAAAGATGTCTATTGATTATATCAAAAACAATTTAAATATGATGGAACTTCACAAAATATTCAAGATCTCTATCAATTATATCAAAAACAATTTAAATATTTTTTGGGACTCAAGAGGTAAGATCAATACTGCTACCAGGTATTCATAAAGCTTTCATTCGAGATTTTTTTATATCCTAACTCAACAAATAAAGCTTTAGACCAGCGCAAGTGAAATTGAAATCGTTAATTTTTAAAAACAGTTTTACCAGATGTTAACCGTTAGAATAGTGCCCATATATCAATCTGTAAGAGGTCATAATGCTTGCGTTATTAATATCGTGACTCAGTCAGTCGGCGTTGCATTGGCCACAGCAGCGTTATTTTGGGTCCGGATAATTTTGTTTCGAATAAACACAAGTGAATCACTCACGCAGTTGCGAGTGCGTAGGTAAAAATGCGTTCAGGGGGGGAAACGTGAGAGAAGTCCGCCGTTGTGTCCCGTCGTGCCGTGTTAACTCTTTTCCAAAGACCGGGTTTTTCTAGCAGTGAGTGCGAACGTCGCCAGTTTCGGACTAGTGTTTCTATCCGCGGCAGTGTTTTGTTCGTTTTACCGCGCGCATAATATGTGCAGTGAGTTTCAAAATCAAAGATGCCGTGCAGAATTTTATTGTTTCGTACATATTCAGTAGCAAACAAATAAAATTCAGCACGGCTTTTGTGTCAAAGAATAGACTTGTTAGGAAGAAAGAAGAAAATTGTTAGCAGTAGCTTTTGATAAGAAGTGATAGTGTTCCTTTCGATAGAAACGCTAGGAGTGTTCTTTCCTTTTAGTTGTTCTAACTAGTGCCTAATAAATTTAATATTTGTGATAGCTACAATATATGTAAAAATATTTAATATTTAAATATATAAGAATCCTTCCTAGGTTTACGCCACTGTTTTGCTTGAAGGTCTTGAGCCGTAGTTATGGCTTCTGTTTCTTTAATTTGAAGCGTCGTGGCATCTTCAGTTGTAACAAATCTTTCCTCGCTTGTCACGCTTTCCCTCCTATCTTTTACCAGGCTGCGTAAGCTCACTTTTTCTAATGTTTCCTTTGGAACCTCTTTCTTTGTTGGGATAGTTTTCTTCAACCTGACAGCTTCTTCAGTCCATGGTATAGGTTGTTGTTGTTGTATCGAACTCTTTCGCTCCACTATCATTTGCCCTTTTTGTAAAACTGTTCTTTGACTCTGTTTTCGCCACGGTAACGTTTCGTCTCCTTTAGGGAGAACTTCTTCGTCGGTTTGCTCATCACCCTGTTGCGTCGTTTCAATTATTAAAGACGTCGTCTCTTTCGTGCCTTTACTTAATCCTTGCTTTCCTTTGGATGTTGCTGTACCGCCACGTTTTTGATCGCTAACCGTTGTTCGAGAAAATTTTCCAATTCGTCCTGCGGGTTGTAACGTTTGTGTTATAACATCTGGCAGCTTTTAATATTTGTCTTCAATTAAAGCGCCATTTTTCAATTAAAAAACAAAGTATATATACATGCATACGATAAAACTGAATAAAATATGTTTATGTGAAATAGTAATTTAATTTTGTTTTGTAATATTACGCAAACGTTTGGCAATTGTCCATGAATGTATATGCATCATTTAATTCGATGCAGCGCCGACTTCCAAAATTATCAACGTTGATTTTGGCAGAACTTTATCAACATAGTGGCCGTGTTGATAAATGTACAAACGTACCTTATTTGTTTAAACACACTTTAAAAATAACTGCCTCTCTATAATAGGTACCTGATCATAAGTTCCACACTTTTTTTAGTAAAATGAAATCAACGCGTTGGTCTTTTCCGATTATGCGGTAACAGTTGGAACTTTCTGAATGTAATAATTGAAATAAAAGAGAACAATAACTTATAACTTACAGACTAATCAATAATATAAATTTTATTAATCTTCTGAAAATAAATATGCCTTAAACCTACAGCAGGTATTTGCCATTTTAATTACCTGAGAAATATTATTGGTTTAAATTCATTAATGTTTGAATTGATATGGAAATACATTTCCTTTGAACTTTTTGAAACGGAAGGGTACAGGTATTACCAATACTTTTACTATGCTCTCTCAGAAATATGTAACTGACTAGTAATGGATGCTATTATAAAACTGACAACAATATTAAATTATTAACAATGTGTTAAAGGTAGGTTGAATGATGGTACTAGTATGATTATTAATATAACTTAAATGTCCGATTTAGAATTTATTACTAATGATAAAATCTTTTGTTTCAGATTAGCCAAAATATCTATCTTGGAACAGTCTAATGAATTCAATTTTAACTGCCTTCACGACACGACACGAACAAGAAATTGTTAGGTATGTACATAGTTGTAACTGGATATTGATTAATTTTTATTTCAATACTTATAAAAATTCTTTTGAGTCTTTTTCCGCAGTTTTTTCGAAAATATCTACATTTCTTATCTACATTTTTCATTTAACTGATGTAATAGAGAAAATTATTAGAAGGTTAAATACGAACTATAAGATGTAAAAGAGACAAACAGTTGGGAAGAATAGTAATTACAATACCAATTTTCATTTTTTTAAATTTATTTTAGTCTCTATGTTTGCTACTATTGTAATAAAAATTTCTAGTATAGAAACGGTGAACATAGATGATATAAGAAACATGTTAGAACATCTGTCACTAGTAGGTATGAAACTGTAAATAATTCTGTGTAACTTCTTATGAATTTTATGTAATGAATCTAAGGGCCTAATTAATTAACCAAGGACCTGATTAATTAACTGTAGTTAGGATGCCAGACCATGATGGATATATCTACGCATAAATTATTTTTAATTAAGTGCTTAAATTAACAAAAACAATTTTTTATTATTTCTACAACTTTTCAGTACTTCACTAAACAATATTTATTGTTCCACTAGTTTCGTCTTTATTGAGACATTTTCAAGGATTCTTGAAAATATCCTAATAAAGAATTTGATTCTTGAAAATGTCCTAATAAAGACAAAACTAGTCGAACAATAAATAGCGTTTTATTTCAAACGTTAACGTGAAGTATTGAAAAGTTACAGAAATAATAAAAAATTAAGTTATGATGTAGCTTCACAAAATATCAAAGATGTCTATTGATTATATCAAAAACAATTTAAATATGATGGAACTTCACAAAATATTCAAGATCTCTATCAATTATATCAAAAACAATTTAAATATTTTTTGGGACTCAAGAGGTAAGATCAATACTGCTACCAGGTATTCATAAAGCTTTCATTCGAGATTTTTTTATATCCTAACTCAACAAATAAAGCTTTAGACCAGCGCAAGTGAAATTGAAATCGTTAATTTTTAAAAACAGTTTTACCAGATGTTAACCGTTAGAATAGTGCCCATATATCAATCTGTAAGAGGTCATAATGCTTGCGTTATTAATATCGTGACTCAGTCAGTCGGCGTTGCATTGGCCACAGCAGCGTTATTTTGGGTCCGGATAATTTTGTTTCGAATAAACACAAGTGAATCACTCACGCAGTTGCGAGTGCGTAGGTAAAAATGCGTTCAGGGGGGGAAACGTGAGAGAAGTCCGCCGTTGTGTCCCGTCGTGCCGTGTTAACTCTTTTCCAAAGACCGGGTTTTTCTAGCAGTGAGTGCGAACGTCGCCAGTTTCGGACTAGTGTTTCTATCCGCGGCAGTGTTTTGTTCGTTTTACCGCGCGCATAATATGTGCAGTGAGTTTCAAAATCAAAGATGCCGTGCAGAATTTTATTGTTTCGTACATATTCAGTAGCAAACAAATAAAATTCAGCACGGCTTTTGTGTCAAAGAATAGACTTGTTAGGAAGAAAGAAGAAAATTGTTAGCAGTAGCTTTTGATAAGAAGTGATAGTGTTCCTTTCGATAGAAACGCTAGGAGTGTTCTTTCCTTTTAGTTGTTCTAACTAGTGCCTAATAAATTTAATATTTGTGATAGCTACAATATATGTAAAAATATTTAATATTTAAATATATAAGAATCCTTCCTAGGTTTACGCCACTGTTTTGCTTGAAGGTCTTGAGCCGTAGTTATGGCTTCTGTTTCTTTAATTTGAAGCGTCGTGGCATCTTCAGTTGTAACAAATCTTTCCTCGCTTGTCACGCTTTCCCTCCTATCTTTTACCAGGCTGCGTAAGCTCACTTTTTCTAATGTTTCCTTTGGAACCTCTTTCTTTGTTGGGATAGTTTTCTTCAACCTGACAGCTTCTTCAGTCCATGGTATAGGTTGTTGTTGTTGTATCGAACTCTTTCGCTCCACTATCATTTGCCCTTTTTGTAAAACTGTTCTTTGACTCTGTTTTCGCCACGGTAACGTTTCGTCTCCTTTAGGGAGAACTTCTTCGTCG